AAACTACACATACAACTATCTGTACAGTCCAAATTGAACTGATATGAAATGACAAAATATACTCAAATAATAGTTCCCTATGTGGCACCATTTTTAAGACAGATTTATTATTAAAACCTGTTTTGGATTATAACTTGTTTCACATGGATCCAATCCCAATTGTCACTGGAGGAGAGTCAGGCTACTCACGTATCACTTGATGTCTGATTATGAAAATTATTTAGTCCCACATTCACACCAACAGTTAATTTAGAATTACCAATTAGACACCAACTTCCTGTAATGATCTTCCTGTAGATATGTCTTAACTACTCTGTCACAGTATAGTAGTGAACGAGTTGTTAACCATGAACAGCGAATGCACCATTTCGTCTTTGTTTTTTAATTATGGTGAAAAATAACAAAAAAGTGTTTGCAGAATAATATAAAGTAATCATAAAGTTAACTTCCTTAAAAGTTATGCTTATAAAATGTCATCATTTTCTTTCATTACCAATTGTTACCTGTTAGACTTTTTTTTTTAATTAACTGTGGCCTTGAAAAACAGTGTGGATTAAAGAGATTCTTGTTGCAATTCCCGCAAGGGTCTCCTGAAAACCTGAAAACATAATTCCTCAGAACACAGCTGTCCACAGGAATTAAGAGGCATAAGTTAATGCTGTCTAACATTAATCACTGCCATTTCTGGCATGACAGCAGTCAGCAAGAAGTCATTTATATATGGGCCAGGTGTAGGTCTTAAGTTATTCGTTCTCCCACTTGCTAGTGTTAAGTTATAGTCTAACTCCTTAATGAAAGCTACATTTGGGCTACAGCTGCTACACCATCTGGCACTGTAAATTATGGAAGGGAACATCTAGTGTACACTGGATTGTGCTATACAGCAAAACCCTGTAACGTGTATTACATTAAGAGGCTAGTCTGCTGATACCTCTGTCACTCAGGACTCTATTATCATACTATCCATGCATAGGCACGTACGCACACACACACACACACACACACACACACACACACACACACACACACACACACACACACACACACACACACACACACACACATATACAGTATGCCTGTATGTGTATAGACAAAGTGATTATAACTTGTTGTTGTTGTTGCATGTTGGTCCAACACACATCTCCCACACCTTTTACACAGTTTTAGACATTTTAATTAACTAAAGAAAACCAAAAATTCTTTAAATAAAAGGAACACAAATATATAAAAGCCATAGTGTGGAAGTTAAGGCCACGTTTGTTATATATATTCTGCTCTCTTCTAACACATCAAATGAGAACACATGTTATGTATGTATGTTTTTGCTTGGGTTTCTCATCAGCCCAGGCCTGACTTGGTCCTCCATCAACCCATGCCGTCAGTTTGACTCTACTATTCTTAGTGGGTCCATCTGCCACTATAGTCCCCCTGGACACCATGCCTTCAGACACAGTTCCCATCTGACAAACTGCTCTTACTTCCCCATACAGACAGGATGTATTAAATTGGTCATGGTAGGATTCTACTGCATTGTGTTTAATTAACACCGGTTGTCACTGTATAGGGGCTGGTGGGAGATGTAAATATCCTGAGGTTTCACTTTGGCTCAGCACGGTGACGTTAGATGACAAAATACAGTATGAAAAATGTATGTGATCTGTCAGAAATCCACAGAAAGGCAGCACGAAAGAAATCCACACTGTGGGTCAACCTTTAGAAACAAATTTGGCTTTTGAAAAAAGACTTTCCTCTTCCCTGAACATGAATTAACCAACTGAAACCTTACTTGTTTGACACATTGCTGGTTTACTGATGTTTCTGAGTTGGATTTATTAAAACCTGTTTCAGTAAAAGAGATTTTGGTCCTTACTATCATAAAACAATAAATGAAAAGAACATTACATATAGCATGTTTGTAATGTGGACACCTGTCAAAAGGATGCCTGTAAAAACCATCAGACGAGCAAAAACAGTTGCATCAAGTTATGGTCGTCTTTAATCCTGCTGCTGCAACATTTGAAGCTAAATTCTAAATTTGACAGTTTCTAGTTCTATATAGTTTATTTAGTTGAGTTGCAGATTTTTCTCTCCACCAAAATGAGCTTCCATAATTGCATTTTTTATAATAATGATAATAATAATCATAATAAAAATAATAAGCGAATACAACTGCTAGATTTTGTTTTACACAATACAGGAGTGTGTTTTTGCTCTTCTCTATCTTTCCTTAGGTCCATCATTGTCTACAGGTTTCATGGGAAGTATCAGAAGCAATAGAGGAGAGCAGGTGGAAGAGAGGGAAGGCCAAAGCTGTGCATAGTGGCCTTCCCTGACCTGGACTGCTTTGTGAAAGTCAGAGGCTAACAAAAAAGACAGAATACAGTAAGAAAAGAGAAGGGATGGCAGACAGTAAGAGAAAAGAAGGGAAAGGGGAGGTGTGAAGAAGGAAAAAGCTAAAAGAGAAAAAACAAAAACGGCAGCGAACAAGGGAAAGAGACTTGACAAAGACAGTCCCTGGGGTTGTCTTCCTTCTTCTGTGTGCAATTATATGTGCATGTGTGTGTGTCTGTATGTGTGTGCATGTTTGTGTAATGAGCATAGTGGGCTCCTGAAGCACTCATGCTGAGTTGCAAAACCAAAAGAGACAATAGAATGGCTGCAAAGAGGGGAGAGGGAAGTCGTTATGGACCCAATAATACATATATATGCAGGCAAGTCACACACAAAACTCCAGCGAATCAGTGAGCCAAAACTGTCACAGTGAGAGAAGGTTCCACTGGGTGCCAAGTTGTGTCCCTGTCGATTAGAAAAATGCTGGTGGCATTTGAAACAAACATACACACACACACACACACACACACACACACACACACACACACACACACACACACTTTGAAAAAAAGAGTAGAACAGGCCTTGCAGTACAAGAGTGTATCTTCTTGTCACATCTGGCTTGTGGAACTGAACAACGAATGAACTGAGTACAACGTTATGACACAGTTTAAAAGCTACAGAACAAACAAACTTGCAAAGACAATACAAACACCATCACGTTTGACAGTACATAGTTAGTCCATCTCAAATCAACTCTTAGGCCATCTGGTTTTTATTAAAATTTTACAGTAGGAAGTTTGATGAGAAATCTCACCTTCATATGTCAAATACCTTTGAGGTTATATTTTCTGGAAAATTGGTCTGTCAACCCACTTTGAAGCCATCAAAACTTGATGAATATCACAAAAACTATTAAATATATTTTTAAAAATGCCTGAAATAACCAATGCCCTTTCTTACATGAATCATGGACTATTGGTAACCTACCTGCATCCTTTCACTCTCCTCTGTGATTTTGTTGTTATTCCAGTTACTTCCATGTTGTAATTTATACCTAATACTTATACCTAATTTAACCTAAGTTAACCTTGGAATATTTAGTACCAAATAATGTTTTTGCATAGACGACTTCCTATCATAGCACCAGGCAGTGAATTCTTGAGAGAAACCAATTTTTTCACAAAAGCTGGTAGAAACAGTTGAGATGCCCAGGTGTTTGATTTTATACACCTGTGGCCATGGAAGTGATTGGAACACCTGAATTAAGTGATTAGAATGGATGAGGGAATAACCTTGGCAATATAATGTAATTTTACATTCAGAGATATAAAGAAAACTAGTATAAATCAATTTATAAATCTCATAATAACTTATTTTGGAACAATCTTTACATGTTTATAGAACAATTGTTCTCTCCCTGATCTCCTCAGCATCTCTCTGCAGCCTCATGTCCTCAAATCATTTATATTTGCATTTTTAATAAGAATGCTATTTAAGCATTTACTTTATTGTTATAATAATTTTCAACTATATATTTAAACTTTTAACAGACATTTATGCAATATAATGAAGGAATGCAGGATAAACACAAAGAATGTTAAATGCTTAAATTCAAAGAGAATTTGGATAATTTTCTTCAATCTTTTAACACAGGTTCTCTCCTCTGAAATACAACTTTAATAAAACCCCTATATACTAATAGGTAAGTATACACTCTTCTCTTCTTGTTGTCCTTAGCGGGCGACCAGCGGCGGTGATCTGCCGCGCAACCTAATAAGTTCACAGAACTCAAAAATTGTTGTGTAACAGATTACACAACAATTTTTTAGTGATGTTTTTAAAAGTTTTAAGTTTAACTAAAATAAAAATTATAGTTGCAGTTGCCTTAAATTACCTCAATGTTAACTCATAAATGTTGATATTCCTCAACTTATAATTAGGGAGTAATAAACTCAAAATGTTCAATTTTTTCAACTTAATTAAGGTGGGAAATACACTCAAAATATTTTACATATTGCAACTCATACGATGTGGGAAATAAACTCAACTTTTTCATATTTTCTAACTTATAATATGGGAAATAACACTTAAAATCTTCAATATTTTTTAAAATACTGTGGGAAATACACTTACAAATTATTCTAAACTGTTTGCCCAGTAAATTATAATCAGCTAAAAGTGTTAGAAAACATGAAAGTAACAACACTAACAATTTAACAACTTTTTATTAAACACAATGTGCTTTTAAAAAGGCACAAACAACAGAGCTCACTCATAAAAAAGTGATTCATAAATAAAACAAGAGAAAAAGACTCCAAGGGTCTCCATCTCAATTCTAAAATTCAATAACATTTTCAGTATTAACAGCAATTGCAGCTATTAGAACATTGATGCATTTAACACTTACTGTACCTTGACAGCTGCAGCTCACTTTCTTTTTTAAAAATACATAAAAAAAAACAGTACTGGTTTCCACTGCTGTACTTATAGGGAACAAACATCAAGGCAGTGCATTTACATATTAGGCAACAGAACATTAAACATGAATAGTGAACTGAACAGCCATTCATCTTAAATGTGAGGTAGAAGAGGCAAATGATTAGGAAAAAAACAAACAAAAAAGCTTCCTCAATACTCAGCTTAACAAGTAGTCCATTCTGAGTGATTCACTCATTGAACAAATCATTCTTCAGCATCAGTAGACGCCCTTTCAGTGGTTTGTTGTCCTCAAGGCACATCACAACCTTCTGGATAAATGTGAATGTAAGCTCAAGTTTCTTTGGGTATTGTAGGTCTAATGCATAGATGTACCCAAAGAGCAGGAGAAATGACTCAGCCAGATTTGTGGGACCATTCACAAGTATTTCATCCTCAACGACAATGCAGATGCTTTCGGGACTGAAGAGGGCCGAATCAGTAGTGTCATCCATGACAACTGTCAGCAGAGCCACAGGAGTGTCAGTGAGGTCTGGACCATCTGCTGACTGCAAAACAAAAATAATACAAGAATGAGTTCAGCCCCACAAGGACACAAATCATGCTATTGATTAGAGGTGTGAATCTTCATAAGTCGCACGTTTCTTTTAGGATTATAATGTCAACGATTTAATTTGATATTGCGATACATCATGATGCATTACAATAATCTTAATTTGGGTTTGGTTTCAAAACATATGTGTAAATAAATGTTTTCAATAATAAATATATGCCAAGATTTTTGTTTTTGTTATTTACCAAACATTTCTCTGACCACAACATGGCACCTCCAAAAAAATAGAACACTTGAATTTTAAAAAGGGAGATAGTTTTTATCTGCAGATTTTTTTTGTATAATAATCTTTCAACTATTTTCATGTTTTCTGGTTTATGCGTAACAATCTTCTTGCAATCTTATTCAACAATAGTTGATATATGGGAGAAAACAAGTCAGATGAGGACTGTGTTGAACATCCTTCCTGATATACACCCTGGTTCTCCTTGAGTTCTGAGCGATGTCATATAGTTGATGCTGAGACCAGTACACTTATATCAGAAGTCCTGAATAACGTGGAGGCATCTTCACGCAGGTACACAGGAAGTGCACGAAGGACGAGGGCCTGTCTTGTATTTACATCATGCTGTTCCTAGATGAACACACAATATCTATTAGAATAGTATTTACACAAATGCAGAGTAAAAACAAAGTGTTGGATAGCCATGTTCTGATTGTCATTGTTATAGATCAGGGGTGTCCAAACTTTTTGTGTAACGGGCTAAACCTGTCAATCTAGAAGGGTAACCCAAAAAAAATCTAAAAATTTTGAATAATTCAAGGCAAAATTCTCTAGTTTCTTTGTATTTATTTTTTATTTAAATTGGGACACAAATTATAAAACTCACCCACTGACAACTGGTGAAATGTTGACTATCTGTAGCGCTCTTTGCAGTCTGATATCTGTAAACAATATGTGCACAAAGACGACTTATTAATGTTCAAAAACATTTTTTGCACAGCACACACACACAAGTAGTCAGCTGATCTCATCTGATGCAGATCTGCTCCTTGATCAAGTGACATTTGTCCGGATTTTTGGCACGAGTGACGTCGAATCAGCACCGCAGCTGGATGGCCCGATTTACATACCCAGCGCAGCTGATACTCACAACAATAATTTACTAAGATTATATGCACTCCTGTTATTAAGTCCAGTTCAGTCTGTTAATGTTAACCGTTTCAAACTAATGTTGATAGGTGTGTTGCTAAGCTTAATAACTTAAATAACAAACTTGAAATTTACCCGTCCTATTTTCCCTTTTATTGTTTTTTCTCTGTGCTGTAAATCTTCTGTCTAAGAAGAAATCTGAGGCTGCTGTTCTGAAAATAAGCTATCAAAGCTTTTTCTGAATGAATCAATAAAGATCCATTTATGGAAAGCTGTGATGAAAGCAGTTTTGTCTTTAATTATATTCAACAATATAACATATTCGACCACTTTTAAGTGATTTTGTGATCTTTAATACACTTTAATACACTAAAGTTAAGGTTATTTACCTAATTTCTAGTAAGTAGCCCTCAGTGAAAAAAGTTTGGACACCCCAGCCTTACAGGTTAGGGAGTATTTGTGATCCGCACAGTCTGCATCAATGATTCTTTCTTAGCCTGGGAGCAGAACGCGGCTCTTTATTTTCATTTCATTTCAATTTACCTAGCAAAGATCGATAGGGTCTGGCTTAAAGGTGTCAAGGAGGCGCCTCAGTCTGGCTGGTTGAGCCTTGTTGAATTAGCGCGAACAATTTAGCTGAACTTCATTTGTAGCACCGAGTTCGACCAGTGTATAATGTTAGGCTGAATCAGGCGATGCATTTTTCCGCAAGCCTTGACTTGTAGAGCTCGCTTAGTGGAATACCCCTCTAAACTGTTAAAAGGATTTCGAGATTATCTCACAACCACACATTTGAGACTACGAAAAAATACAAACGTGTCTAATTACCATCATGATAACACACTCATGTTGTTTATTATTGTTCGCTTCATGCTAGCACACACACACAGCTCAACAGCGTAAACTACTGACTGTGTAACACGGACACTTATTGAAATAAGTATACTCACAATACGCACGTACATTACCGGCGAATACGACAACCGGTAGAAACGGACAGTGGAAAGTTTTAGTAGAAAGTTCAAATGCATGGAGCTAGAACTGCCACCGTCAACTTCCCGGGCAAGAATACAATGCATTATGGGAAATGTTGTCCCCCACGGAAAACCGCCAAAACGTTACATCATTCTAATTTTGAAATAACATTACGTATTTGTCACATTAGAAAACTTCTAAAATTACAATTACTTGGATTCGAATTCATTTATAACAAACATTCACTGTGCACAAAGTACGAATATATTTCCAGTAAAAAATAAAAAAGAATGTTTATCGAAATTAAATTGAAACAAAACAAAAACACGTTAGACTTACCAAATTTAGGGCAGTTGATGAAAAAAAATAAGGTGGTGGTCGTGGTAGGTTGAAGTTGGGGACTCTTAATCCACACGGGCTGGCCAAAACTTCCTCGTATCAAGGTAAATTCAAGATGACCTGGCAACCTGACTGCCCCTGGGTGGGTCCGGGATGGGCGTGAGGTTCTGGGGGCGCTCCGTCTCTGGGCTGGGGCCCGGGCCGGGCCTCGGGGCTTGGGTCCTGGTTGGTGTGTTGCCGGGGTTGTGGGCGGGTGGGTGCATGGGGGCCCGGCCCTGGAGCAGGGTGCCGCCGGTGCGTCGAGCCGCCTGGGGGGCTCTTCATCTGGTGGGGGGATGGTCACATCTTGCAGGAGCTTTCTTCTCTTCAGGAACTCTCTGCGGGAGGGGGAGATACAGGAGAGGTGGAGGAAGATCTCAGCCTGGGCGTTTACCGTCTTATGTAGTCTGGAAGATGTGTGGATGGTGGGGTGGGTGCAGTTTTCTCTGTGGTGGGGTTGGGTGGACTGTCCAGGGCTCTGTGGAGCCGGAGGGCGCTACTGCACTGGGCCTGGGTCTGATGGGCCTGGGCCCCCCTTCCCTGGTGGGTCGCGGAGGGTGGGAGTGCCTACTGGGGTCAGCGGGGGAGCTGGCCCCAGGGAGGGGTTACCTGCCCCTCCCTTCCTTCCCTCCCCATCTCCAGCTGCCTCCCTCTTCCCGCTCCTCCACAACCACCCACACATGCAGGGCCTTGGAGTGGGGGTATGTCACCAGGGTGCAGAGGAGGCTACCCCCCCCCCCCCCCCCCCCCCCCCGTCCCCTTCTGGCTGCCTCTGCCTCAATTTTATCCCACCACTTAGACATTCACATTATTCACACTCTCATTACACATACATATAGGATCTTGGGGGTGGGCACAATCACGGAGTCCAATTTACCATCAGGGTGTATACCTCACCCCTGACGTCGTTGCCCACCTCTCAATTTTAAATACACTTAGTCATTGAGGGCTAGCAGGAGGGACTATGCGCTTACCTGCTGCTCCATGGCAGGTAGCTCCATGCCCTCCTGGGTTTTAATTGCACCTTAGAACACATATGCATCAACACTACAATGAGCGGGTGGAGGGAGGTTTGGAGTCTTCTCCCACCCCCATTCTCTGCGGCCTGCTGGAGCGGGAGGGCTAGTAGGAGGAGTTGGCCGTCCGACTGCGGTCTGGGGTGTGGGGCCTCCCTGCTGCTGCGGAGTCGGGGTGGTCTGCCTCTCCCCACCGCAGGGAAAAGGGTAACACCACCTGGGTCTGGGTGGAATTCCCCCCTCCAGGGGCAAGGGTACCTAGACCCGGTTTGTAGAGTACGCTTGGGGAGTGTGATTGTGTCTCTTTATGTCTGTCTCCACGTTGGTTGAGTGTGGAGTGAGTGCATATGAGAGCATGAGGGTGGGAATGGATGTTTGTGTCTGTGTGTGCCTGTATGTCTGTGTCTATATGTCAGGTTGGGTATCAGACGCCACCTCTCTGGGGACACCTCAGGCCCTCCAAGGTTTGGAGGCCTATCTCCACCCACCACCACTTCCCCTGCCGGTGGCGGACTCCCTCAGACATCGGTGCGTTGGTGGTTCTTTGTGTCTGGGGATGGGCATCCAGGTACACACCGGCTCACTCCTTGGCGGCCGCTTGTCGGGGCCTGGGGCCTGGGGCTCGCTCGGGCCCCTTTGGAGGTGGGGTGCCCCCGGCCTCTCGGCCTGGGGCTCGGTCACTCAGGCGCAGCTGGGGGCCGGCGGAGCTCACGGGCGCGTCACTGCAACTCCCCCTGACTTCTGCTCCGCGGCTGCTGGGCGAGCCCTCATCTGGGACTCTCCTCAGCTCTTACTGGAACAGTGGCGCGGCTGCCCCTCTGTTGGTCTTCCATGGTCTCTTGTGTTCTGGGGGCCTCTGGATGTCTGGAGTTTTGATCTCCTCCATACCCGCTTCACACCCTGGAGGACGGGGCTGTGGCTCCCCCACACTCCCTAGCAGATCATTACATGGAGAAACCTTTGGAATACAAGCATGCTGATCCACACAGGTATGCACACATGGGTATTCACAGACGCGGACTAAAGCTTTCTTGGCTGCTACCTCAAAGCACACTGTGCGCTGTCTATCTTGCGTGCTGCACAATATCGTTTATTATTTAGTAAATATTGATATCTATGGCTAGCTAGTTTATTGTGATGGTGCTTTGTTTTCTCTATTATTATGTTGCTCTTTGTTGTCTGCTGTCTCCTCTGTTTGTTTTTGTTTGTTTGTTTGTTTTTTTTTTCTCCATACAGGTGACCCAGGAGTTCTTTTTTTTTTTTTTTCTCTCTCTTCCCCCCCTTCTCACCGTCTCTTCTCCCCTTTGGTTTTCTTTCTTTCTCTCCCCCTCTTTCTCTCATTCATTCCCCCTGTCCTATTTATTAAAAAAAAAAAAAAATGAAAAAGGATGAACTGAAGCTCTGCCATCACGTCATGTCGCATACTGCTGTTTCTGATGTCATTTAAAAAAAAAAAAAAAAAAAAAAAAAGGTAAATTCAAGATGGCTGACTCAGCTTTCCTGAGGGAGTGACAAGACTCCACCCACCAGAACGTCACTAATATATGCTTCTTAAACTTTTTGAGCGTTCCAAAAAAATTAGCTAAAAAATATTGAGCCCTATTCAATTAAAGCTGCATAAAAGCCAACAGAGCTCAATACTTTATAGTTTGCTCAACTATAAAACGACATTTGAGTGTTATGAGCTTATTAGTTATGAGCTAGAACAACTGTTAGGGATTACAGTGTAGGTGCCGCAGGTTCTCTTGCTTGACCAACGACTATCTTCCACGCTTTTCGATCTAAGGCGATGGTTCTTGCCTGCTCGAGGTCAAGTCGAAGGGCCTTCAAATCATCCTGGATTTGTTTCATCCATGTCTTCTTTGGTGCATTTCGATGCACCCTCCAATCGGTGGGGCGGGTCAACCAGAGTAGGCCATATATATAATATATATTAGTGCTGTCAAACAATTAAAATGTTTAATCAGATTCATGACAGGGGTACTGTGGATTTTGATTAATCACAATTAAATATCATTCATTTTTTATTCTATATTAATCACCTTTCATTTTGCATGAGCAAACAGACTCGAGAAAAAAGGGGAAAATATACGCACTTAACATGTTTGTTAAGCATCTTGAACATTCATGTTAACAAAAAACTCTGTAAACATTTATCCACTCTCTCTCTGTCACTCTTGGGGAGGTACTTCAAGTCCTTGAAACAAGGAACCAAATCTATGTAAAGCGCGTGTTCTCAACGATATTAATAGGTCTGCAGTTTGTTGCAATCCACTTGGCAATTGTGTCAGTCAATATGTCTGAGGTAGACTTACTGAGTCCCCGATGCTCCGTGAGTGGTTTGTCGCAAGCTAGGGTGATGCATTAGCCAAAGTTCTAGCAGCATGCCCGACTAACGTATGCTTCGCGTCAATGTAATATTTTAACCTTCGAAGTGCTTCGGTGAAAAGCAAATTCCTTCTTACACAATGTGCATAATACTTTATGTCGGTTGACTGTTCGATCTTGGTATTTTTTCAGGACTCAAATTTCCCATCGAGAGGGCAAATGTGCGTTTATCATTTTGCATATTCAATTCAATTCAATTTTATTTATATAGCGCCAAATCACAATAATAGTCACCTCAAGGCGCTTTATATTGTAAGGTAGACCCTACAATAATAGATACAGAGAAAAATCCAACAGTCAAATGACGCCCTATGAGCAAGCACTTCGGGGACAGTGGGAAAGAAAAACTCCCTTTTAACAGGAAGAAACCTCCGGCAGAACCAGGCTCAGGGAGGGGCGGGCCCATCTGCTGCCACCGGTTGGGGTGAGAGAAGGAAGACAGGATAAAAGACATGCTGTGGAAGAGAGACAGAGGTTAATAACAGATATGATTCAATGCAGAGAGGTCTATTAACACATAGTGAGTGAGAAAGGTGACTGGAAAGGAAAAACTCAATGCATCATGGGAATCCCCAGCATCCTGCTTCTATTGCAGCATAACTAAGGGAGGATTCAGGGTCACCTGGTCCAGCCCTAACTATGCCCATATGGAAAAGAAATAGTAAAAACTTATATGTGATTACTCATGAAAGTGGCCACTTTCATGAGTAAATCATAAGGCTTACATGATTTACTCATGAAAGTGGCCACTTTCTCATTACTTTCATATATTGTTTTAGTAAGTATCCAAAACATACAAGTTTCATTATATAATTTTTCAAGGGATCTTATATCTGTTTTCACTCTTATGTGCTTTTCATACAAGTTTCACACAAGACAGATACAAACTTTATAAGATTTATATATATCTTTTCCATATGGGTATGCTTTAGCAAAAAGGAAAGTTTTAAGCCTAATCTTAAAAGTAGAGATAGTGTCTGTCTCCCGAATCCAAACTGGAAGCTGGTTCCACAGAAGAGGGGCCTGAAAACTGAAGGCTCTCCCTCCCATTCTACTTTTAAATACTCTAGGAACAACAAGTAGGCCTGCAGTGCGAGAGCGAAGTGCTCTAATAGGGTGATATGGTACTACAAGGTCATTAAGATAAGATGGGGCCTGATTATTTAAGACCTTGTATGTGAGGAGCAGGATTTTGAATTCAATTCTGGATTTAACAGGGAGCCAATGAAGGGAAGCCAAAACAGGAGAAATATGCTCTCTCTTTCTAGTCCCTGTCAGGACTCTTGCTGCAGCATTTTGGATTAGCTGAAGGCTTTTCAGCGAGTTTTTTGGACATCCTGATAATAATGAATTACAGTCGTCCAGCCTGGAAGTAATAAATGCATGAACTAGTTCTTCAGCGTCACTCTGAGACAGGATATTTCTAACTTTAGAGATGTTGCGCAAATGGAGGAAAGCAGTCTTACATATTTGTTTAATATGTGTGTTGAAGGACATATCCTGGTCAAAAATGACTCCAAGGTTCCTCACAGCATTACTGGAGGCCAAGGTAATGCCATCCAGAGTAAGAATCTGGTTAGATACCATGTTTCTAAGATTTTTAGGGCCGAGTACAATAACCTCAGTTTTATCTGAATTAAGAAGCAGAAAGTTAGCGGCCATCCAGGTCTTTATGTTTTTAAGACATTCCTGCAGTTTAACTAATTGGTGTGCGTTAACTGGCTTCATGGACAGATAGAGCTGGGTGTCATCTGCATAGCAGTGAAAACGTATGCTATGTCTTCTAATGATGCTGCCGAAGGGAAGCATGTATAGTGTAAACAGAATTGGTCCTAGCACTGAACCCTGTGGAACTCCATAATTAACCTCAGTGTGTGAAGAAGACTCTCCATTTACATGTACCAACTGGAGTCTATTAGATAGATATGATACAAACCACTGCAGCGCAGTACCTGTAATACCTACAGCATGTTCTAATCGCTCTAATAGGATATTATGGTCAACAGTATCGAATGCTGCATTAAGGTCTAGCAGGACAAGCACAGAGATGAGTCCACTGTCAGAGGCCATAAGAAGATCATTTGTAACCTTCACTAAAGCTGTTTCTGTGCTGTGATGAGCTCTGAAACCTGACTGAAACTCTTCAAATAAGCCATTCCTCTGCAGATGATCAGTTAGCTGTTTGACAACTACTCTTTCAAGGATGTTTGATATGAAAGGAAGGTTGAGATTGGCCTATAATTAGCTAAGACTGCTGGGTCTAGAGATGCTTTTGAGTAAAGGTTTAACTACAGCCAGCTTGAAGGCCTGTGGTACATAACCGATTATTAGAGATCGGTTGATCATATTTAAGATCGAAGAATTAATTAATGGCAGGACTTCTTTGAGCAGTTTTGTAGGAATGGGGTCTAAAAGACACGTTGATGGTTTGGAGGAAGTAATTATTGAAGTTAACTCAGAAAGATCAATTGGAGAAAAAGAGTCTAACTTAACATCAATGTACTGAAAGTAGCTGTAGATAATATTACATCTGTGGGATGATTATTGGTCATTTTTCCTCTAATGATAAGAATTTTATTTGTGAAGAAGTTCATGAAGTCATTACTAGTTAACGTTAAAGGGATGGCTGGCTCAAAAGAGCTCTGACTTTTTGTCAGCCTGGCTACAGAGCTGAAGAGAAACCTGGGGTTGCTCTTATTTTCTTCAATCAGTGATGAATAGTAAGATGTTCTGGCTTTGCGGAGGGCTTTCTTATAAAGCAACAAACTATTTCTCCAGGTTAAATGATGATCCTCTAACTTTGTGAGACGCCATTTCCTCTCCAGCTTACGAGTCATCTGCTTTAGGCTACGTGTTTGAGAATTATACTACAGAGTCAGGTACTTCTGATTTGAGACCTTAGTTTCCACAGGAGCTACAGTATCCAGAGTCGTACGTAGTGAGGAGGTGAAATTATTAACAAGATAATCTACCTCTGTTGGAGTAGCTTTCAGATAGCTGCTCTGCTCTATGTTGGTACAGGGCATTGAAGATGATAACAGTGGGTGGATTATATTCTTAAACTTAGTTACAGCGCTTTCAGAAAGACATCTACTGTGATAAAGTCTACTCTCCACTACTGTGTAATCAATTATTGTAAATGTAAATGTTATCAGGAAATGATCAGACAGGAGAGGGTTTTCAGGAAACACTGTTAAATGTTCAGTTTCTATGCATATGTTAAAACAAGATCTAGAGTGTGATTAAAGTGGTGGGTGGGTTCTTTTACATTTTGAGAGAAACCAATTGAGTCTAATAACAGATTAAATGCCATGTTGAGGCTGTCATTTTTAGCATCTACATGGATGTTAAAATCACCCACAATAATTATTTTATCTGAGCTCAGAACTAAATTAGATATAAAGTCTGAGAAATCAGACAGAAACTCTGTGTAAGGCCCAGGTGGACGATAGATGATAACAAGTAAGACTGGTTTCTGAGTTTCACAGCTGGGGTTGACGAGGCTAAGCATCAGGCTTTCAAATGAATTAAAAGTCTGTCTTGGTCTTTTGTTTATTAATAGGCTGGTGTGAAAAATTGCTGCCACACCGCCCCCTCGGCCTGTGCTTCGAGATTTCTGGTAGTTAGAATGACTCGGGGGTGTTGATTCATTTAAACTAACATAATCATCCTGCTGCAACCAGGTAAATCAATTTGTTGATAAATTATTAAGTCATGTACTAACAGAGACTTATCCAAAAGACTTGGAGACTGGTGGATTATATTTAATAATCCACATTTCACTGTTTTACTCTTTGGTTCTGATGTGGATATTGTATTGTTCTTTCTTTGTGATTGTTTATGTTTAAGTTGTTTGTTGCTGGTTTTTAGTTTGTTTTTTGTCTTTTTGGAAGCTGACACAGTCTCTATGGAGATGGGTTTTTGGGGGGGTAGCAGGAGGAGAGAAGCTGCAGAGAGACGTGTAAGACTGCAACTCTGCTTCCTGGTCCCAACTCTGGATAGTCATATTTTGGGGAGTTTAATAAATTTGTCCATATTTCTAGAAATGAGAGCTGCTCCATCCAAAGTGGGATGGATGCTGTCTCTCCTAACAAGACCACGTTTCCTCCAGTTTGCCAATTATCTATGAAGCCCACATCGTTTCTGGGACACCACTCAGAAAGCCAGTAATTTAAGGAGAACATGCGGCTAAACATGTCACTCCTGGTCTGATTGGGGAGGGGACCAGAGAAAACTAGTCCGACATTGTTTTGGCAAAGTTGCACACCAATTCAATATTGATTTTAGTGACCTCCGATTGGCGTAACAGGGTGTCATTACTGCTGACGTGAATTATGATTTTACTGAATTTATGTTTACCTTCAGCCAGCAGTTTTAAATTTCCTTCAATGTCGCCTTCTCTGGCCCCTGGAAGACAATTGACTATGGGTGCCGGTGTCTCTAGCTTCACATGTCTGAGAACAGAATCACCAATTACCAGAGTTTGAGCCCCAGCGGGTGTGTCGCAGAGTGGAGAAAAACAGTTAGACACATGAACAGGTTGGTGGTGTACCTGGGGCTTCTGTTTAGGACTATGCTTCCTCCTCACCTTTCCCCAGCTGCTGGGGGTCTGCCGGGGAACAGCTAGCGGGGCCTACGCTATCTTCGGCTGCACCAGCTACAGGGGCCTGGCTAGCTACGGGTGAATGAAGGGTGCGAAGCCGAGTCTCCAATTCAGTAATCCTGGCCTCCAGAGCTGGATCCAAAAGAGCACTCAAAAACAAGTTCACTGTACTTATAAAAGAGGCAGACTTAGGTTTGATCTCTGGCCGGGGCCTCGACTGATATCAGGAGGAGCCCTCCTTCATCCTGGAACAGGGAGCAGTGGGAGCTGTGGAAGTAGGCCTCTCATCCTCAGTCTATAGCCCCATTAACAATAAGGCAGGTGAGGAGAAGGCTGGGGAGGTGGCACAGCTGGGCTTCCAACAGGCTGGACAGCAGCACTGATGTAGGAATTTTCTCAGGTGAGGTTAAGCCTAAGAACTGGGAGACTTCTTCATCTAAAAAAATGAAGTCTCTGGACTAATTACTAGTGATGTGTCGGTCATGAACAAAACTGCTCTTAGAGCTGACTCTTTGAAGTGAACTACACAAACTGGCTCCTTATTCGGAGCCGTGGGGTGTTTTTTCTTTCTCTCAACCTCTCTCTCTCACTTTTTTTTGCTTCACTCCGCATGCGAGCCTTATGCTTGCACTGGGCAGAGGGGCAGTAGTTACACTGCAGTAGCTCAGGAACAGAGCAGGAGGGAAAGAGAGAGAAAGAGAGCAGGGACAACAACATCACATTAGAAAAGTATATTAATCATCCACAACTATTTTCAGTTGCGGATGATAAAGGATTCAGAAAGTTTATTCATGCAGGCCCATATGACAGAGAATGTGCATCTTCTTTTTGTTTTGCATATTTTTATTTATATTTAATTGTGTTGTGGTTTGCAGTGTTTTGTGTTGTTTCACTTTTAAATATTTTTAAAAGGAAAAAGCTGAAAATTTAAATAGTTAAAAGTTTAAATGTAAATAGTTGGTTTTTGTATTATATGATTTATTTATACATTTTATGTGGAGTGAATAAATAAAAGCACATTTACGATGGCCCCTAGAGACAAAGCACGTACAAACTCCAAAACACGTGCAAACTCCCAAGGACAGACAAACTCCAAAACACGTAAAAATTCAGAAGCACATAAAAACTCAGAAGCATGTACAAATTCCGAAGCATGTGAAACCTCCAAAACATGTACAAACTCCAAAGAACAAAACAGAGCACAAAGTGCTGTGCTTTTGTTACCCTAGTAAATGGTCAATGAACTGCTTCTTATATAGCGCTTCTCTACTCTCACGGACTACTCAAAGCACTGTATTCAACAACCACACCCATTCTCGCAAGCACTGACTCTGAGTGCTTTTCTAAAAACATTCGTGGCTACACAAGCCAGGAAGTACCAATGACAGGATTTGGTGTGGTAGTAACAGGTAAATTAACTTTTTTTTTAAATTATTTGAATATATATGAGTACTTCGGTATAAATACACAAACAATAAACATGCTTTCAATTGTGTAATTTAAGTGATCTAGGTAGCTTTGTTTTGGAAGTTCAGTTTACGCTAGCAATGCGTTTTGGAGTTCGTATATGCTTCGGAGTTTGTACGTGCTTTGGAGTTTTTACATGCTTTTTGGAGGTTGTACCTTTTTGTACTTGCTTTGTCTCCAGGGGCCAGCGTATATATTTATATATAAACATATATAAATAAAACCACGTTTGTTTGTTTTTTACATTAGTAATTCCTTTTGTGCATAATTTTACATTGTTGTTGATAATAAATTAATTAAAGCAACAAACCAACCTGAATAGCCGGTTGGGAGCCGGTTGGGAGCCAGAAGAGCCGGCTCTTTTTAGTGAGTCAAGCCGAAAAAGCCGGTTCTCTAGAACGAGCAGGAATTCCCATCACTACTAATTACTATATCTCCACTGCCATGAGACTCTTGCCATTGGTCTGCTCATTACCAATCATTCAGAGCAACACTATTGTGACGTTTTCCTTATTCAGACAAATAAATGGTTCCAGTCAGGGCTGTGTTGATGTCATAATTCATGCTAGCTTGTGCGTGGGTTCCACAACACAACCTTCGTCCTATTTTTTTACTGACTTAAAAATTAGTTTTAATAAGCTGTGCTCCATATCTATTTATTTGTATTCATGTATAATTTTTCCAGCTTAAAAAGACAAAAACTTATCCATTTAGAGCCTGAAGCAATTAGTTGTGACAACAG